GGGGGGGGGGGGGGGGGGGGGGGGGGGGGGGGGGGGGGTTGCAGAGCAGAGAGTCATCAGTGTTACAGTCAAACAGCCATGAAAAGCCTGTGAGGATGAAAAGAACAGAAGTGCCTTTTTTATCTAATGCACACAAATCCCATATAAATACTCCAATATGTTAGTCGGGGTACGACAAGGAATGCCCTCCATCTCTTCCCTCCCACAACAATAGAGACGTGGATGGCTATATTTGTATGAATCTGTGTGTGTGTGTGTGTCTGTGTGTGTGTGTGAGTGAGTCGGGCTGGGACAAAGAGAGAGCAGCTTTCAGTGTGTCTTTAGTCACGCTGTTTCAACACGTCATTTGTGTAGACGAGTGTATTAAACAATCACTCTGAAACAGTGAGTATTTGTCGGCACTCCGGAGAGACTGAACCGTGGTGGAAGAGATGGACGTTTCTTTAAATGTTCAGCGTTGGGACGGCTGGAAAGCGTAAGACCCGGCATTTGAAATGTCGCAGCTGGGTCATTTGGCCACAGACGTTCTCATAGAATTCATATACAGACAATAGTGAACGGAGATGACGAGTAAAAGTGAAACGTCTTACTCGTCTTCAACAACACTTTGGGTGTTATCGTTACATCCTGACAGCAATCAATGAATCAAATGCTTTATGTTCATAATGCTAATTACGGGGAGTGTCTTTGGAGGGAGGCCTGAAGCGCCGACTCTGCGACTTTCTCGCTATATTTCTTTATTAACTTTTATAGCTCGCGCTGCTTTCATTGGAAAAGAGTTGGCACCACTGCGCTGGGTCCTTAGGTTGGAAACCTTTCAAAATCTCAAATTTACATTTATCACAAACACAAAGATAAGTCTTTGCTGCCCGGTTCACCACATCAACTTAAAGAAGACGATGACAGGTCAACGCTAGTGGAAGTTACTGCTGGTTTAAAGAAATAGAGAAATATAACAATAATAACAAAAACACAAAAACAGACACACAGATTGTAGCGAGCTTAAAGGAATACTTCACCCAAACAACCATTTACATTTCACTACTCACCGCGTGTTATTTTAATGCCTCCACGGTGAATCAGCAAATAGTAAACAAGAATTCAAGGTAACACAGGGTGAGTAGTTGATATACAAATGTTCAGTTTGTGTGTGTGAAGTACTCATTTAAAACACACACACACACACACACACACACACACAGTACATGTAACTCACTGTATTGTGGGAGTTTCTGGGTACGAAGGTCCTGATGCACTCTGGTTCCTCTCCGTCTGTCCGTCCCCGAGGCTGGAACCAAACAACACACCATTTCTGCCTCTCAGAGGATCTTCTAGGACAGACACACAGACACACACACACACACACACACACACAAACACACACACACACACACACACACAGGATAAGGATGAGTGAAAGCAGTTTTCATTCACCTGAGAATATAATGAAAGAACCACAGATTTTCTTTTTCTTATTCCACTATTTTCTAAAACTAAAATCAAAAACTTTGATAGTCGGTGAGGGAAACCTGAAGAACAGTAAACAAACACAACACACGAGTAAACAAACACGGGTCGAGTGATGATTTGAATCTCATGGTTATTTAATATTGTGTCGTATGTTTTTGTTTCTTTTACAATTTCTGATAAAAAATGAATCATACATATTCAACTCTAATTCTACTTTTACCGTTTGTCTTGTCCAAGTTTTAATCTTTTGTTGTAGTTCAGATAATTTAAGTCATTTGTGTATTTTATTGAATTTCTGCGACGTAGTGGATTCGATGGGCCTCATTCTCTGCAGTCTTATCCTAAATTTAAGTTGCTGTGCCAAAATAAGCTAAATAATGTAAATAAAACTCAAGCCGTGATGATATGTTGGTGATATCTATTTTAACTCAGATTGATTGAGATTATAAAACTTAACTTGTTTTGTTTCTACTGTATTTTACAACATGTATTCCCCTCGGGGAGTTGAACCCTGGTCTCCAGCTCCGTGTTGATTAGTTTAGCCTTGATTTTTAATTATGTAGAACACCACCACCACCTGGGTATCGTGTGTGTGTGTGTGTGTGTGTACACACTTGCCGTCCGCCTCTACGTAGCATGTTCTGTTTTGTTTACCCGATAAAGATCCTTGAGATCAAAACGTTGGCTTGTTACATTTATTGGCACCTTATTTTGTCAGATTAATGTCTCGTATTTTATTCAGAAAATGTACAATAGATATATTATATGGTTTGCGTGAGTGTGTAGGCTTTCGCTAATTTGGACGTCACACGTCGACATTCACGTTTGTGGTGAAACATGTCACGCCGGTGAAGTTTCTGAATTGAGACGAGGAGTCAAACAGTAACGGAGGTTGTTGGATCGGAGCAACGGAGCTGAGAGAGAGAAAGGACAACACACACAAACAAATGCTGCTTTTTCCTTCAGCACACCGGAGCTAACAGGCTTTCACCATAACGAGAAAGGAGAAAGCGCGAGTAGGTGGAGAAGTGGATCTTCAGATAGAGCTCTTGTCTCTTTGTCCGTCGTTAAAGGGCCTGCAGTCACAGCAGCCTTTGTGAGGGGGAGACACGACGATCAGGCAAAAACAACTTGGCTTCTCCTGCTGGCAAAAAACGCTCCTCCAAAAAGAAAGAAGGGGATCGAGAGGAAGAGAAAGGACGCCTTCCCGCGCACTTGTTCGCCCGCTCTGCCTCTCACAACGCCGTATCTTTCCAAATCAACACACATGTCAGCCAGACAGCTATAAGCGATTTCCAACGCCGTTATGAAAAGAGAGCATTTCTAAGCTGAGATGTGTGTCCTCTATTGTTTGTTTATGTGTGTGTGTGTGTGTGTGTGTGTGTGTGTGTGTGTGTGTGTGTACACAAGCGAAGGTTGGATCTCTGTTCGAGGTTCACAATGGATGCACATGAATATGAGAAGAAGTGCATAGAAATGTGAGTCTTCTCAGTCCAAGACATCCACCGAGAAGAACCACGAGAGCTGTTGATTCTGTTTTTGTGAACAATAGCATAAGATATGCTCTTCTTTCCAATGATTCTTCTTTCCAATGCAAATCAACTAGTTTCTATGATTTCCTTGAAGTGAGATAGAATGATCCGGGGTGGCGATGGCCTAGATGAGCTGTTTTTACTCCTGCTCCTCAAGGAAAAGCATAACTGGTGGGTTTTTTCTGCGACCACAAACAATTTGACGTTTTTACTCGTGAGTTTTTGTACAAATCAAACAACGTGTTAATTATCGAGCTTTAAAGGTGCCGATAGGTGTGTTTTTGCTAAACTTTGGACAGAGCCAGGCTAGCTGTTTCCCCCTGTTTCCAGTCTTTATGCTAAACTAAGTTAGCCGGTTGCTCAGACACAGCTAGTTGTTTTTTTCTGTGCTACCAGGAAGTTATACCAGGTGTGAAACGGCGTCATATTAAACGGCTCATATGAAAAAGCAGCAGAGCTCCCGGTCCTGAGGACCAGAACTAAAACCCACTGATCTTGAGTTAAAGGAGAAGTTAACAACGCTGGAAACTTTTCTGGAGAGTTAGATGAGAAGATCGTCTCCAACGACTCTCGTGTCTGTAAACTGAAATATGAAGCCACAGCGAGCAGCGCCTAGCTTAGCTTGGCATAAAGACTGGAAACAGGGGGAAACAGCTAGCCTGGCTCTGTACAAGGCTAACAAAATCAGCACCTTTAAAAAGAAAAGTACCAAAACTGACCTGTAAAAACGACAATTCGCTGTTTGTGGTCGACCGTTTCACTTTGCTGACTGACTGGTTGGTTAAATCAGATGAGGAACGAATTCGTCTCTTGCAACTACTACTGTCAAGTTGCCCTTGAGCAAGGCATTAAACCCCTGAACTGCTTCAACAGCACTGTCATCCATCCATGTATTCCTCCATCAATCCATCCTCTGCTAATTATCCTCATCTGGCAGCAGGTTAAGCAAAGACGCCCAAACTTCCACAGTCGTGTCCTCCAACTCTTCCTGGGGGACGACGGTCCAGGTGGGACAGATAATCCCTCCAGTGGGTGCTGGTAACCCTCCTGATCAGACACCTGAATCTCCTCAACGGGCTCCTCTCAATGAGGAGGAGCAGGAGTCTGAACCGCTCACTCTCCCATCTAAGATTGTGCTTCTACAAAGATGCACGGAAATCAAAAACTGTCTATGCATCAATAAAAAGGTTTGGTTTCTCCAACTCCTGTCTGGAGGCAGCAAAGAAACAGTGAAGAAAGAAAGAAACACGTCAACAGGATAGAAGTATAAAAAGAAACACACGATTCAAACGACCTGTTTCAGCTTTAAAGCAGAGGATTGTCAACATTTGTCTTGTGAGGGCTACAAAGAAAAGAACGAATGATACTAGCAATGTTATTATGTAAACAAAGTCCCATAAACCGATGAAGCTGCATTGAAACACAGAAGCATTATCTCAGCCTATTAGCAACCAAAGCAGAGCTGTTGATTGTTGGAACAGTGGAAAGACTAACAAAGAACTTTGTTTTGTTTCTGTCAAGTTAAAATTATTTTTATCGTTGATCATTGAGGTAAAATGTTGTCTGACTGGAGTCTGGTGGCTTTGAGGAGAGCGTATTAATAGTATGTTTTGTATGTTAATAAATCATAACAATTGTTTAATTCTGTTGGTTTTATTTATTATATATTCTTTGCAACATGCGTCACATCTCGCCGGAAAAATGGGCTAAAATGATCGTGTCCACTCAGGTGTCACGTTTCCATCCCTGCGTTTGTGCAAAAAAATCTGCTCGCCACTATTATAATTGCAACACACCTGTACTTAGATTTCCTGGAGTTACGGGTGAATCAGTGAGATCAATCAAGCATCAATATTATCGTCATTAAATATTCATCGTTGTAATAAACTCTGGTGCTGTGGAGGCCTTTCAGTACGACTCTTAACGTACTTGTGAACGACATCTCTACATTTGAAGGGGATGTACAGTCTGGTTTGTGTCAGTGCAGTAGACGTGTGTATTTGCCTCCATAACAAGAGGTTCTTCTCTGTCTGTACAGGGAAACAGCAGGATGTGTCGGGACTCGGAGCAACTTCCACGTTTCTGTTTAATGACCGATTATCACAAACTGTAGGATTCGGTATACGAGCTGCCCTCCAACGTCACACCCAACTGCACACATACAGGACACATATTTACACAAACAC